AGTAGGAAAAAAGCCCTGCCTCTTGGTCTTAGAATTCAATTGAACTATTAACCAGGGAAAAAATCAACCAAAAAGATTATGCCTTCACAAGAAAAACAACCAAAAGGAAGCTATAATTTGATTATTACAACTGTTTTCTCAGGTAGGTGTCATCTCTGTTTTACAGAAGAGAAAACAGGCCTGCATTTGAACAAGATCTGCCTGATTGATTGGACTGTAAAAGGTTAATGACTCGCACCTACCTCATTTCAAATGTGGAGCTTAGACTAGGACATCTCTAAAGGACCTTCAGGCTCACACCTGTAATCCCAGCACTTTGGGAGGCTGAGGTGGGTGGATCTCCTGGGGTCAGGAGACCAGCCTGGCCTGCATGGTGAAACTCCGTCTCTACTAAAAATACAAAAAATAGCCAGCATGGTGGTGCACGCCTGTAATCCCAGCGACTAGGGAGGCTGAAGCAGGAGAAATGCTTGAACTTGGGAGGTGAAGTTTGCAGTGAGCCGAGTTGGTGCCACTGCACTGCAGCCTGGGCCACTGGGTGAGATTCCATCTCAAAAATAGCAGCAACAACAAAATAAAGGTCCTTGCAGATTATAATTTTTCCTATAACAATATTAGTTGAGAATACAAGAATGAGGTGGGCTCTGGATCAGATGCACAGCGCTAAAGAAACGAAAGACCTGGTCTTTGCCCGTAAGTAGCTGTTTGAGTCTTTGGGACCTTGATACAAGCATATGTGAAAAAGTCAAGCAAATAGTGCAAAGTGGTATATGATTGTGTAAGTTGAGTGGTATAAATATTTTCTGGCTGGTGTGAGAAACAAGTTCAATGTAGACTGAAGCCATGGGAACATTTGAGAGAGAGAGTGGGCTGCCTACATTGTGTTTTCCACAGGAGGATGAATATGCCTAACAGCTTGGGAGAAACTAGGTTTTTCCTTGCCTGGTGTAGCACTGGTGTTTTCTTAAGCATGAAGTGGATGGAGATGGTCCAGGAAGACAGTGGACAGGGTGGCTGTCACAATAGAGGAAACCAGCATGGAGTGTTATGAGTTAAACAAGGCTTGTATTTTAGCTGTCAGGTTGGTGGCCGAGAAGATTTTGACATTCCCAGATTATTGATCTTTTGGCTTTGGTGTCCAGTTTAGATGGTTTTTGCTAAAGTAGCTTTGACCATCAAAGACACAGGCATGTATACATACATCTCCTATGCTTGTTTTCTTTTCATGTAGAATGTTTATTTTTCTGGATAAAGGAAACATTGTTGGCCACCCAGTAGGTAAAATGTTTCTGGATAATGATTTGTGATGACTGGATTTGCTATGAAAAGGTATCTTGGATGCTTGGTACCGTAATTATTAAATGAGACTTCGGGGAGTTTGAGCATCATGATTCTGTTTGGAAATATTTGGCTTATGGGACTTTGACAGTTGTCTCGCTGTTTACAGCATTTATAAGGTAGACCTTAAAAGGGCTTTTAAGTGACAAAAAAAAATTGTTTTAGTTTTGTTTTATTTGATTTTTTTGAGACAGAGTCCTGTCACTCAGGCTGGAGGGCAGTGGCACGATCTTGGCTCACTACAACCTCTGCCTCCCAAGTTCAAATGATTCTGCTGCCTCAGCCTCCCAAGAAGCTGGGACTACTGGTGCTGGCTACCACGCCCAGCTAATTTTTTGTGTTTTTAGTAGAGACAGAGTTTCATTGTGTTAGGCAGGATGGTCTTGATCTCCTGACCTCATGATCCTCCCGCCTGGCTTCCCAAAGTACTGGGATTATAGGCATGAGCCTATAGTTTTTTTTTTTTTTTTTTTTTTTTAGAGAGTCTTGCTCTGTCACCCAGGCTGGAGTGCAGTGGCACGGTCTTGGCTCATTGCAACCTCCGTCTCCCAGATTCAAGTGATTCTCCTCCCTCAGCCTCCCCAGTAGCTGGGATTACAGGCATGCACCACCATGCCCAGCTAATTTTTGTATTTTTAGTAGAGATGAGATTTTGCCATGTTGGCCAGGCTGGTGGCAAACTCCTGACCTCAGGTGATCGCCCTGCCTCAGCCTCCCAGAGTGCTGGGATTACAGGTTCTAAGCCACTATGTCTGACCTTAAATTGTTTTAGTTTTATCTTTAAAGCCATCTCAATTATGGCCCCCCAATAAATTCCATTTGCAACTCCATGTTATGTTTACTGTTTCATAGTCAACTCAATCAGGATTTTTTGTTGTTGTTGTTGAGACAGAGTCTTGCTTTGTCGCCCAGGCTAGGGTGCGGTGGCGCCATCTCTGTTCACTGCAACCTCCTCCTGCTGGGTTCAAGCAAGTCTCCTGCCTTGGTCTCCCAAGTAGTACCACCATGCTTAGCTAATTATTTGTTTTGTTTTGTATTTTTAGAGATGGGTTTCACCATGCTGCCCAGGCTGGTCTTGAACTCCTGACCGCGTGATTCTCCCACCTCAGCCTCTCAAAGTGCTGGGATTATAGGCATGAGCCCCCGCGCCTGGGCCAAGGAGGATTGTTTTTTTAACACACTAGTGTGTTAGTCTGATGCAGAAGACTTTCTCAAATTTCTTAAAGAGTGACAAAAGAAAATGAAAGTCAAGAGTAGTCAGCAGATTGCCCAGATTTTCCTTCTCTTTTTAATTTTTTCTGTATTTGCAAAAGGGCTCTCTCCTGTTGTATGTGTTTCATTCTCCTGGAAGTTTTTAAAATCTACTTAAAATGGAGGTGAAAATTTTAATGCTTCTTTTCAGGGTTGCTACTATGGTGTTTCTGTTTTCGTCCTGTGTTATACATTAAACAGCTGCCTTTTTTACTTTGTTAAGGACCTGATGGAATCATAAACAGATCACTGTCACTAGGGTTACAGAAAACAAGTTAAGTCTTGGTAGTATGCATTCAACAATGGTGCTCAGACTTTTGAAGAATTATTTAAAGAAATAATGGTGGGATTTTCATCAGAACCTGAAATTTTAGCTGAAATAAGAGGCAAGTCTGTAAACAAAGGATTGTTCCAAGCCAGCTGGCTACCACCATAGCTCTGCAGGAGGAGCTTCCTTGCCTCAAGCCCGAACACTAAGTTTGGGCTCCTCCATAGCCCGGCTGTCAGTATTGGGCAGGTGCACAATCTCAGCAGGAGAACCTGCTTCTGAGGCCAGAGCAAGGTGGCCTCTTAGCTGACAGCCAGCCTGGGAGCAAGGCCCCAGTCAGTTCTTAGGTGGGTAATCTGTACTCAGCGTGGGTTCTCTGCCTGCTCTGCAGCTGTCAGTTAACAGGACAACTCTTGTTTGGACTTCCAGAACACAACCCTGGTTCTGGAAATGGGCCTAGAAACAGAAATAGCCTCTCCTACTGGGTGGGCACCTGACATCTGACATGGAGGAGGGGCTGGGCAGGCCAAGTGTCAGCATCTCTTTGGTTCACAGACAGCGCAGGACCTGTGCTAAGCATGAAACCCCTGCTGAATAGTGTCACTACAACAAAGAGGATTGTCATGTCTAGAAGCTCTTCCTACTCTTTTTGGCAATTACCGCTAGCAATCAATGGATTCTGTTGTTTCTGCTTACAGTGATTGAATAAGCATAATTATTCTGTTGAAGGAAATTTTTTCTTGCTATCCTCATGTTAGTAAACGTTCCATTCAGATTCCCAGGGTTTTTACCTTTTCAAGTGTAGCAAAAATGTTTTTTTCTATTAACAGAGGCCATCAACTTGCAATTACATTAAGCCTTTATGATAGTTAATGATATTCATTTGTTGTGCCTGGGTTTAATGATAAGCACAAAACTCTCCATGTGAAACTTGCTGAATCTCTAAATCTGATTGCTACCTTTTGAGATTCAAAATTACTGTTAGGAAGGTGTATTAGTTTGGAGGGTAGTTTCAGAATTCTGCTGGCTCTTTAAAATTATTTTTTTAAGAGATCATCTTGGGGCTGGGTGCTGTGGCTCACGCCTGTAATCCCAGCCCTTTGGGAGGCCAAGGCGGGTGGATCACGAGGTCAGGAGCTCAAGACCAGCCTGACCAACATAGTGAAACCCCATCTCTACTAAAAATACAAAAAAATTAGCTGGGCACGGTGGCAGGCTCCTGGAATCCCAGCTACTCGGGAGGCTGAGGCAGAGAATTGTCTGAGCCCGGGAGGCAGAGGTTGTAGTGAGCTGAGATCGTGCCATTGCACTCCACCCTGGGCGACAGAGCAAGACTCTGTCTCAAAAAAAAAAAAAAAAAAAGAGATATCATGTTGGAACAAAATACGGCAAGAGTTATAGTTGGATAATCTGGTTTACAAGTGACTGATTACTTCAGTGTATTTTGCCATAATCTGCTTTTAAAATGTAAGGAATAAAATGCACAGGATTTTTTTAGAATAAGTAAAATTCCAAATTTTGGAGTTAACATAAAAATATGTAGATAAGCTGTTGACGATTTGCAGACTGAGAAAGTTTCAGAGGTGATAGATTCAAAACGTGTATTAGGTACGCAGCACTCCTAATTTTCTTACAGACACCGACACCCAGAAAGGACATTGTAGCAGATGGGCTATTACTTTTGAAGAATTTTGTTTTAAAATGTAATTTGAGCAACCACTGATGCTTTTAGTGGGGACGTTGTGCTATAGCGGAAGGGAGCTCAGACTTCGTGTCAGTACCTAGATTCGACTGGGCTTTGCCACTACCACAGGCGCATTTGACCATTCTGATCCTCAGTTTCTTTTTTTTTTTTGGGACGGAGTTTCGCTCTTGTTACCCAGGCTGGAGTGCAATGGCGCTATCTCGGCTCACCGCAACCTCCGCCTCCTGGGTTCAGGCAATTCTCCTGCCTCAGCCTCCTGAGTAGCTGGGATTACAGGCACGCACCACCATGCCCAGCTAATTTTTTTGTATTTTTAGTAGAGACGGGGTTTCACCATGTTGACCAGGATGGTCTCGATCTCTTGACCTCGTGATCCACCCGCCTCGGCCTCCCAAAGTGCTGGGATTACAGGCGTGAGCCACCACGCCCGGCCTGATCCTCAGTTTCTTTAGCTGTGAAATGGTGGAGGGAAGAGCTGTAGATGTGCAGCCGAAGCTCTGTTGCAGTTTAGCATTCCTCTTCTCAGACATTTCCTTGGGTGGAAGGGACAGATGGGGAGCTCGTCAATAAGCTGCAACGTAAATTTTTGGGGGACATAAATCATCCTTTTGGGGAAATAAATCTTTGTTATTTATCTTAAATAGTTTAGTGACTGCTTAAGGAGTATTCTTTGAGGACTCTTGGTTCTTAACTGAAGGCAGACCTGTGTGCAGGGCCTTTGGCTGCCGTGCTCCTGTGCTGGGTGCTGTCTTGAGCCCCTGTGCAATGCCTGGCTCAGAATAGGAGCTCAACAGATGCCTGCTGTCTGAATAATAAACAGGTATCTCAGGAGCTTTTGTTATGTGCCGTGTGTGGAATGCCAGGAAGGAAAGACCCACTCCCTGCCCTTAAGGAGTTTCTAATCTGTTTGTGAAGACAGGCTGTCAATCATTTTATAGGAAATATGTTATATAGACATATATGATTAGTTGCCAAATGAAGAATGAAGGACTATTACCTAAGAGTTTAGAGTGAGAACAGGGGGTGGAGGGTTGTGAGATGCCAGGGAAGTCTCCACAAATGAATTTTACACTTTGTTCTTGGAAGAGCTGAGGTCCTGCCGGCAGCAACAACAAAATCATAAAGGAAGGCTGGTTTTAAAGAAAGAACAAAGATTTGTGTTGATTTTAGATATCCTTGTGAAAAAAACGCCTTCCCAATACCCCAGTTTCATGTATGAAGTTTGGCTGTCAGCTGTATCTTCTTGTTTGAGAAGCTTTTGTTTCTGCTAGGGCCTAATGTTCCTCATGGGCTCCTGAGCACAAGTGAATTTTCTGCGTCAAACTAGAAAGGAACAAAACAACTTGTTTGGTCACCTGAACTTATTAAAATTCCAAGGGACATGAGTTAAGATTTCTTTATGTCTGTTTTAAGCTAAGTAATTCATTTTGGCAAGCAGTTAGTCCACAACAGAGAGGGAGCATGTTCTGGTGGTAGGGAGAATAAAAGAGCCTTTGATTCATTTGCTTCTGAGTTCCAGCAGCAGGGCCAGGGCTGCCTTGGGCTAGCGTCTTATTTTGGACTTTGGAAGCCATCTTAGCCCAGCTGTGTGAGTGCCAGCTCGTGTTGAGGGGGAGAGAATAACAGCAGTGGATCACATGAAACCCCTTCTGACTGTGGATGGAGGGGTTTCTCTCATTTCACATTCCTTGCATTAACATGGTGCCTAATTTCCACCAAGTTAGAGCTCCATCTGAATTTGTTATTTGAACTTGGATTGAAGTCACAATCTCTCTGTGACTCCTTTTATCTCACTCTGCCAACTAATACAGAAAACTTAACAAGTCACGGGTCTCTTTATTCTTCCCCTTGGGGTCTAGCACACATAAAATTAACATTCTTTCTTCTTTATATTGGCAAAAAGTGGCCCATTGTACTGTGGATTTCCATATTTATTAAATAACTGGGCTCTTCTGTTGCCAGTGAGATGGCTATAGGAGACTCAATAAATTGTAGATGGCAATTTAGGCCTGTAGCATTGCTGGGGGAACTCATTTTTAGAAACTGGAAGTTTTTGCTCATTCTAGGCTTATATGTGTGAGCATCTTAAATAATACAAGAATGCCCTAACTGGAAAAAAGAATCATTTCTATTTTAAGCAATTCACTTATTCATAGGAGCAAAGTTCTTCCTAGTTTAAAAGTTCTCATTACTGAATAAAGTACACTATAACCTAAGAGCTTTTGACCTTCTCCCAGCCTGTTTTTAAAAAGAATTAAGACTATGCACTGTAATGCATGTTTGGTTGTTATCTCTGTTACATTAGCTCTTGAAGCATTCTGATTACAACTTGTAGCTGCCAAGCCCTGTCCTGCAGTATTATCTGGAACAAAAATTTTCCATGTGGTTGTTTTTAGCAGAGCTGCTATATGCAAACTGCACGTGAAGGATATAAGTTAAAAGGAGTAGAGCTTCTAGAAGGAGAAATGTGAGTTAATTCTTTTCTACCATTTAATCGTTCTTTCCTCACCTCTGTTTATCATCTTTCTAGACTGAGTTCTCTTTTATTTTTATATACTCGAAAGAATGCCAAATTTACCAAGTGTTTTTCTGATGGTGGTTTTCTTTGCTTTTCTCCCAAGCTTTTTACTTTGAATTTGTACTTGGCCTAGGCAGTTCTCTTAAGTTATGTGTTCAAAAAACAATGTCCTAAGAGGAAAAAACAAATGGCCACATTGTCCCATGAATTAAAAATAATATACCAAGAGTCCAAACATTTCAATGTAAAAATGTGAGGCCTTTCTTTTTTTAGGAAGACAAATATTAAACTTTGCTTTAACTATCCTGTTGGTTTTTCCTTTCCCTTAATTTATTTTCTTTTGATTTGACTCATGTAGTTTAAATTTATTTTGAGAACAGTTTTATACATACTTCTTTAAGAATACTGCACATAGGGGAAAGCACCAAAATTTCATTTTACATTTCAAGAGAAAAATGAGAGGAGGCCATCCTTCTGTCAGAAGAGGGGCAAAATGTCAAATAATACCAAGGTTTTATAACTTACTTTTACGTTGCTTGGTTAAGTTAAATATTTACCATTATTGCCTAGATATATTTAGCTCTTTGTACGTGAAAAAAGCAGGTAAATGTAATTTAAGACACTTGCTTTTGTGAAATGAAATCCTGGACATTAGCACTGGAAGAACTCAACTCATTTTGTTATAGTTTTTGTTTTAAATAGAAAATAGAGACAGGGTCTGTCTATGTTGCTCAGGCTAGTCTTGAACTCCTGGCCCCAAGTGATCCTCCTGCCTCGTTAAGTTTTTATTGTTGTATTTAGTGCATTAGTCAGCCAGTTGCTATACAATTTTATTTGCTAACTTTTTTAAATGGAAGGTGAAAGCACTCTGTGCCATTGTTCCCTACTCTCTCTTTTCCTATTCATTTATACTTCTCTGTGATCTAAGCCTGGACATCAAAATTACAAAATATTTGTGTCCAAATCTTTACACACACATTCTTTTACCTTTTCTCTAAAAAGGGAGTGTTAATTTGTGTCACTGTTACGTAGTAATCAAGAATAGAAATAATAATGTTCCACCAAGCATGTAGATTGTTTTTCTCTCCTGAAATACAGCTTTTAGTTACTGCTGAATTGGGAAATGCGGTTAGGCCACTTTATGACTAGCAGAACTCCTCCCTGAGATGACTACCTGATGAAAGAATTACCTGCCTGCGTGCCTTCCCAGTGCCAGTCCTTAGCACATTCCCATCAGTGCTGTGGCCATAGTTGGAGTTGCCAAGACTAAGGTGCTTCTGGTGAAGGAATGACCCCTTGATTATAGAGAGAGAAGTGCTTTAATCTTTGACTTTTGAAAGATACTAAGTAAAAGCTACCTTCGGTGTTTTGAATTCCAATGCTGTTGTGTAGAGCTTGATGAGGAATGATTACTTCATTCAGCTACGGAGGTATTATTTGAACCCTCTACCCTCTGGCAAAGTTATAATTGACCCCAAAGTTATGTAGGAGTATTTACTTTACATGTTCTTGACAGTTTCAGGTTTAAATGTTTGAAGTGTTGAGAAAAGGTAAAAGGAAATATTGAACTCCAAAGAATGTAAAATATTTGGGAAGGTACTTTGTTCCTAGTGATGCTGTTACATAAAACCAAAGCCTTCTGAGTAATCTTTGCTGGGTATGTAGGGCATTTACCTCCAAAGAAAAAGGCACACAATTCAATTGGTGCTATTGAATGGTATTCTTTTTTTTTTTTCTATTCCTTTAAGCAGTCAAATCGTTGAGAGTCAAATTTATAAATGTTGAATGTTTCAAATGGGAAAACCAAGCCTAGTGCATTTTCATAGTGACCCACAGTAAACAGAGAAAAAGGTATATACACAGGAATCTGTTTACAAAGAAAACTATGGCTTCATTTATCATTCTTTGGTGTTTGTAACAGGATATCAATTTACAGGGAACAAAGATGGCATTTGTTCTCTATGTCAAATATACAGTGCAGTGCCTTGCACACTCTCTTAAACAGCACTATCAAATAATTGTAGAATTTTGAGCCTAAAATTATAAATTCTCTTATCCAATGTTTCTAACCTTTTCTAATCCATTCCTCTCTCATGTATTGTTCGAGTGTCCTTTGGCTTTTAATTCAGTTTTACTTTCTATGATTTGCATTACAAAAACAATAGCTATATTGAACCTTTGTTCTAATTCCACATCTCTCCTTGTCCACCAAAAACCCAACACCCTCTTTTTACGAGAAATGAAAATTAGCCGAAGGGAGATGAATTGATTTATCCAAAGTCATACTACTTAACCAATTGTTCTGTTGGGGCTCATCTCTCACCTCCCAGATAAAATCCTTTCTGTCAGAGTGAATGCCCACATGAACAGGGCACTGTGAAGAATGCAAAAGAGGACCAAGTGAACACTGTTTTCACTTCTGAGAGCTGTGTGTTGCACTTAGTTCTACAGATTACATCATGATCAGTGATGTGTGAGACATAGTGGTAGAAGAATTCAGCAAAAAGAGGTTAATTCAGGTACTCTGTGAAGGCTTAATGAAGGTGGCAAGAGGCATTTCACCAAGATCTTAAAAGATGGATTCCATTTTCAAAGACGAGGCTGGAGTAAGATCTGATTTCTGCTTCTCCTTTCCCAGCCACACTCTTGCATTGCTGTTTACATTTGGCTATCCCTCTTTTTCACCTGCTGTTCATTTCATAATGGAATACAGCTGGGTCCTTTTTTTTCCAACACCCTTATTTAAACACCAGTTTCTGATGTCCCTAAGTGTTGGGAGTTCTTGAGGGTTTCAGTGCTAGCCCTCGTTTGTCTCCTCCTTTCATCTTTGTTAGTTCGTTCTTCATCTGTTGTGAGATCCTGAACTCCTTTGAAAATTTGAGGCTCTCAGTTACTGTAAGAATTCTTACCAAGCTATACACAAACATTACTATAACCTTGAATGTTTTCTGACCTTTAAAGCTCATCTATGGCTCTTACTTAACACCTAGTTAAGGGCCCTGAATTATATGTTGATAATTCGAGTACTCTTTCTCAGCCTATTTCTCCTCTCAGATCTGTGGATCTAACAGTTTTTGGTTTGTTTGTTTGTTTTGTTTGGAGATGTAGTCTCGCTCTGTTGCCCAGGCTGGCGTGCAGTGGCGCAATCTCGGCTCACTGCAACCTCCACCTCCTGGGTTCAAGCAATTCTCCTGCCTTAGCCTCCTGAGTAGCTGGGATTACAGGCACCTGCTACCATGCCTGGCTAATTTTTGTATTTTTAGTAGAGACGGGGGTTCACCATGTTGGTCAGGCTGGTTTCGAACTCCTGACCTCGTGATCTACCCGCCTCTGCCTCCCAAAGTGCTTGGATTACAGTTCTGAGCCACTGCGCCAGGCCAGATCTAACGGTTTAAATCCAAAACTGCTTATATAGCCCACAGCAACTCAGAGTCAGAATGCCCACAGCAGATCTTATCATCCTCTCCCTAAACCCGGTCCTCATGGCTGTTCCTCATCCAATGGCTCAGTCAGAAGGGTTTCTTCTTTTTTTTTTTTTTTTTTGAGACGGCGTCTCACTGTGTCGCCCAGGCTGGAGTGCAGTGGCACAATCTCGGCTCACTGCAACCTCTGCGTTTTGGGTTCAAGTGATTCTCCTGCCTCGGCCTCCCCAGTAGCTGGGACTGCAGGCACATGCCACCACACCTGGCTAATTTTTTTTTTTTTTTGTATTTTTAGTAGAGACAGGGTTTCACCATGTTGGCCAAGATGGTCTCTATCTCCTGACCTTGTGATCTGTTTGCCTTGGCCTCCCAAAGTGCTGATATTACAGGTGTGAGCCACCGCGCCTGGCCCAGAAGGTTTTCTTTGACTTTTCCCTCTTTCTCATTCTCCACACCCAGTAACCAAACCCTGTCAGTTTTACCTTCCAAATATCTTGATTTATTGGCCACTCTTGCCTAGCGACCTTTGCCTTTCTTCTGGATTGCTGCAATAGCCAGTTGGAATTGCTGCTCTCTGCCTCCAGTCTTGGGCCCCTCTTAACTGTCTTATCAAGGCAGCCAGAGTGACTTTTCTGAAATACCAATCTGGTAATGCCATTCCATAGCTGGAAGCTGTTCTGCGGCGTTCTTTCACTCTTCAGAGTGCCTCTGCTTCTTCCCTTGGCTTGCATGGCCCTTTGTGATGTGGCAGCAGCACATCCATCCAGCAGTGTTTGTTGCTCCCTTCTCAGCTCAGTCTCTCCACTTCAGCTGTACTGAACTTTCATGGTCCAGATCAGCTCTGAGATCTCTCTCTCCGGGCCTTTGCACATGCTGTCCTCTCCTCCAGGAATCTTTGACCCTCTCACTTCTGTCTCACAACTGGGCTAACTTTGGGAGCCTTCTCGGAACTCCACCACTACCGTCGCATGTACACACAGACATAGTGTGCCGGGAGCATCTGTTTTGTCATCCTGTCATGTTCTGTTATTCCCATAGCATAGCACTTGCCACACTTGATATTTGCTTGTTTACTTGCTTATTTCCCCTCCCATAGTGGGGCCATGTTGTGACTTTGGTGAACCCCAGGTACTTTTGCCTTCATAGGTTCCCCTTCCTATATTAAAAAAATTAAAAATTATATTTTGCAACTATGTTAGTGGAAAGATGAATATATTCTAACCTAGAGTAGTAGTTATATTATTTTTCAGTTTTTTTCTTTTTTTTTCCTTGTTACTTCCTGTTGATTTGCATATTTTTCATTTTTTATTTGAAGAGAAAATATTAAGACACTTGTGTGTTCTTAAAAGCATCACGGGCCCCAAACACTGTGCCTTCTAACTGATGGATATGCTGGTGCTGTTAAATGAACAGAAATACTTTGAAGATAAAGTTGACAGCTATGTCAACTGATTGATTGGGACTCGGAAAAGTGAGGAGCAACTCAGTTATTTTTTTATGTAGCCCTATTATCATGGTTTAGATAAC